CTTTGTGCCACCACAAAGAGGCTCTGTCCCTCAGAGAAGCTTGGGTGTTGCCATGGTGACAGAGGGGGCCTGGGAAGAAGGGGTCCAGCGTCTTGAGGGAGAAAGGGTGTTCCAGGCAGACGGCACTGGTGCACACAGGCCACCGGACCTCAGCCTGACCGGACAGCTGCCCCACCTGTGCCTTCGGTGGGGGAGTGGTCCTCGGGGTCTCATGGACCCCTTGGCCCCTGGGTAGGAGCTGGGCTCCCAGGCCCCGGTGCCAGTTGGATCCGTCGGGTTTGGTCCCAGCCTGGCTGTGAGCCTCAGGCTCCGCCTCAGGAACGCCTTGGCTCCTGTGCCCACCCCAGAGCACAGTGGGGTGGGGCTCTGAGCCTGGGCCCTCAGAACTGCCCCCTCGCTGCTCTGCTCTCCCTGAGATGGAATGGCGGGTTGGGGGAGCCACCTCCCAAAGGGACCCTAGGGGGAGGTATGGAGGCAACAGGCCAGCCCACCCCACACAGTGGGGCACCTTGGGGTTCCCCAGCCTTATGCCCGGGCTCCCCTACTGTGGTCAGGCTGGAGTGGGTAGGCTGCTGTTGTAGGCAGAGAGACCACCAGCCCCAGCCCTCCCTGCCCTGCCCTTGGGGTGCCCCTGGGCTGGCTGCTGCTGTAGAGACTGTGGGGGAGGTGGGTCCTCGCTGCCCAGACCCCACACTTGGAGCCTGTCAGGCATTGCCCTCTGGCTGCGACTGCAGCTGGAATCTGGGTCAGGTGCAGGAGGGGCAGCCTAGGGCTGGGGGACTGCTGTCCGTTGCCATCCCACAAGTCCACCCAGAGAGGCAGGGAACCCGGAGACTTGGAGCAAGTGTCTGACCTGCCCTGGCAGGAATCTCAGACTGAGACCCTTTGGGGGCCTCTGGTGGGGGCTCCCTGTGGCTCAACGCCCCCACTGAGGAGGGGCAGCAGCTGGATGCTCACCTACACCTGGCCCACCCTCCTGCCAGGGCGAGGCCTCCTCTGCCGTGTCCAGCCTGCAGTTACCTGGCCGTTTCCCAGCCCTGGCCCCGGGCCCGGCCCCAGGCCCTTAGCTCTCAAGACCTCGGGCTCCGTGGGCTCCCAGAAGTGTCCCTGCCTTGACCTGGCTCCAAGCCTCCTGCATCAGCCTCCCCATAGCCCCTGGTCCTCCTGGACCACCAGTCCAGCGGCTCCTGCCCTGGGGCTGACCAGTGCTGCCAGGGACCTGGCTCTCCCTTAGCCCAGGGTGCCCCATCAGTGCAGGGCAAGAGCCCCTTGGGAAGAACCGCCCAGACCGTTCCCCCTGCACAGAGTAGTTGTACTCTGTGTGGTCAGTGGGTGCTGCTGGGTGTCCACAGGGACGGTTTGGGGGCAGGAGGAGGTCACTGAGGGGCCATCTCTGTCCACCTCCCACCCCCATGGTGTCAGGTCCAGGTGGCGACAGGGTCACCTCCTCTGCTAGGGAAATCTAATTTCCAGGCTGAATTCTGTTACAGTTTGCCCAGCTCCCTGAAAACCTAGCTGCTTCCCTCAGGTGGCAGGCGGCAACGCCCAAACCCCTGGGGAGAGTTCCCTGGCCTCGTGCTCACTTGCCTGGCCTGCTGGGGTGGGGGAGGGGCACCTGCTTTCCCATTTCTCACTTGCCTCTCGCAAAGGCAGTAGCTCTTAGAACATGGGTACGTGCAGAACTTTGGACCTGCTGCAACCTGCGGGCCAGGAGCCCTCCACCCAGAGCACCGCTGCAGCCGACACGCCCTTTCCAGTCCGTGTGTATATGTGTGTGTGCATGTGCGCGCGCGTGACCATTTCCACACTCATCCTTCGCACCTCATCTCTGGGCCACATGCCTTGTTGATGACCTTTTCCCACCTCGAGTTGGGGTTCGGTTTTTCCTACTGACTTATATAGTCACCGTATAGATAAAGGATATCAGTTTTCTACTGGATGTTGTGAAGACGATCCCAGTATGTTGACAGTATTTTCGTTTTCTTTGTCGTTTTCTCCTACTTCCCATATCATGGAAAATTGCAAACACAACAGTGGAGAGTAGTGTGACGTGTCCCCACGTGCCCATGCATCTTCCGCAGCGGTGGAGCCGTGTCTACATGTACAGTCCCACTTGTCTGTCTGAAACGCTCGCTACACTTGAAAAACAAGCCACAACCACAGCACGTGGCACTCTTTCTGGATGTTTAGAAATGTTTCATTCTCACAAAGGCGAGCTGGTCCTTTTTCCTTGGCAGTTCCTTCCACTGCTTTAAGGTCAAGAACAGACTCTTCCCATCCAAGTCCCCCCTCACCCTGCGGCCCCCGCATTACACCAACTACGGGTGACCCTGTGGTCCTGGCCGTGGCACAGTGTCCGTCCTCGTGGGCTTGGCCAGAAGCTGTCCCTGCAGCTGTGGGCACCATCCAACCACAGCAGGGGTGGTAGGGTAAAGATGGGCACTTGCAAGGCCTGAACAGTGCTGGGAGCATGGGGGGCACACCGTGGGTGTCCTTCAGCACCCCTACTGCCTACTTTCCTCCCCATCAAGTGGGTGGGGCCAGGGGTGTGGAAGGAGGCTCCACCCGTAGCCAGTCCCCTCCCTCCCCTTGTGAAGGTTGGGGCAGTGGGCAGTGTGCCAACAAATGGCTGGCAAGGGGTCAGCACTGGAGCCCAGGCCTCCTGCCAGCCTGACCCGTAGGAAATTCCTCTAATTCCTCAACCCAGATTGGACTCCGTCCCCATAATTTGATTTCTGGAGCAGGGTTTGGCTGGACTCCTGAGGAGGAGCGGCTGATTTAGCAGGAAGACGCTGAGTGTGGGCATGGTTTCGGGGGAGGGTGGGCATCTCCCCAGTTCCTCCGTGTGCCTGCACCCTCATGGGGGAGCGGGCGCTGGTCACAGTGGTGCCCCAGCGGGTTTGGGGGCCCCTTCCCAGGAGTGTTTCTCAGCCTCACCCTTGCTCACCCATTCATCCACCCAACTACCCGTCCACTCATTCCTCCTGCCCGCCTCCCCTTCTCCCCCCACCCTGCTGCCTCCGTACCCACCCACCCTCCCATGCAGCCCCCTCCTGGCAGCCTCCACACATCCCCTCACTGTTCATCTGTGTCCCTTTCCACCCAGTCTCCTGCCCTTCCATCCCTCCATCCACCCAACATCCACCCACCTGGGGCCACTCCTGGGGTGCCTAGGCCTGAACACATGCCCCAGGACAGGCTGCCTGTGTCTGCATGGCACATTTGTCCCTGTCCTCTTCCTAAATCCACTGCATGGGTGACGGGCAAGCGTGGTGAGGAGCAGCCTCCACCGAGGACTCAGGAAGCTGGTGGCTTGGTCTGGGCAGGGGCGGGAGGGGCCTGCCCGGCAGGCAGTGTGGGGCCCTCACAGGGGAACAGAGGCTGGGAAGGCATTGGCCAGAGAGGAGAGCAAGGGTCACTGAGGTCCCGCACATGGCACTTCCCTGGCGCCCCCCAGGCCTCCCGGGAGAGCAGAGGAAGCAAGTCTGGAGCCGACTTCTACCCAGGATCAGCTGGGTAAAGCATCTTTGAAGTCTCATGGTCCATCTTAAAAATTCATGCATATTTTGCCTTCCATGTTATCACATGGGAATTCAGTTCGTTGCTGTTTCATTTGTGTGACAGGTGCTGGGGAAGTGGAGCCCAGCCCTGGACCCACGCTGGTCTCTTCCTTCGATGGGCCTTGATTTCCCCAGCTGTTGTGGGTGCTGAGGGAGTCTCTGTGCTGTCCTTTCACCTTGAGGTGCACCGCACCCCTGGCCCAGCTGGCACTGGTATGGCCAAGCCCAGCGCTGACCCTTCCTTTCCAGGGCTCTGTCCTTGCAGCCGGTTCCCCAGGGGCCCATGAGCAGCAGAGCTGACCCTTCAGGGGTGCTGCCAGCCATGCCCAGGCCCCATGCTGGTATGGCCTTGGCGGGCTGGCCTGGGTCAGGCTTTGTGCTGCACATGGAGCCCCCGCGTGGCCTGCACCCCACCCGCTGCCGTGCACCTGGGTCTGAGCACACATACTTCTGCTGCTCTTTGCCCACAAAAAGCAAACATGCTGGTCAGCCAGGGAGCAAGTGGTAAGGAAAAGCGCTGGCTCTGGCTCGTCTTTGCAGCTGCCAAGCCCCCACTGCCCCCACCCGCTCCCCGGGGGCCCACAGGGGCAGCGCTGGGCTGGGGCCCGGGCAGGCCTGACTCTCTCCAGACGCTGGGCCTCAGGCGCCCAGGCCCCTGCCCTCAGCCTCCTTCGGGGTCGGGCGTCAGGCACATGGGCCACTTCTGGACACGGAATCTCAGCCAGGCTGTATGCATGGGGTAGACACCGCCCTTGCTCCCAGCCAGTGTGGCTGGGAGTGGAGGTGGGACCACTGGTCTGCAGGCACGCGTCATCCCCGCACCTGCCTAGGTGGCCAGGCACCCAGTGGCTGCGGAGCAACTTCTCACTCCCTGCCAACTAGTGCGCCAGCTCTGCCGTGTGAGCTGTGTGGCTACAGACAGGTCCCCCACCCTCTCTGGGTCCCAGCGTCCACCTCAGTGAGATGGGCCTTTGCTGGTGCCATGAGGGTGGGGTGAACTGGCATGTGCTTTGGACAGCAGAGGGCCTGGAAGGTCTGAGAGCTGGTCACACCAGCTCTTTCTTTCCTTCCCTTCCCTCCCCTTCCCTCCCCTTCCCTTCCCTCCCCTTCCCTTCCCTCCCCTTCCCTTCCCTCCCCAGCAGGCTCTGGGACACCCATGGTCCGAGGTTCTGCTGGGCCTGGCAGGAAGCAGGGAGCCCAGGTCAGAGCCCCACACACCACAGGGAGGGAGCCGGCTGCTTCCGGCCAGCCTTGGATTAATGGCTTTTAATTTAGAATTTAATCAATGTGGCTTCTCTCCAGAGAGCTGGATGCTGTGGTCTGGGAGTGAGTCATGTGATCTGTGAGTGGGGTGGGCAGGGGGCCCACGATGGCCTCTCCAGTCCCCCGCCCTGGCCCCACCCTGACTTGCTCTGCTTTGCCTGCAGTCAGCCAGCGTCCTGGTCATGGAGGACTGCAACGTGCACTCGGCTGCCAGCATCCTGGCTTCAGTGAAGGAGCAGGAGGCCCGCTTTGAGCGGCTGACACGGGCATTGGAGCAGGAACGGCGCCATGTTGCCCTGCAGCTGGAGCGTGCCCAGCAGCCTGGCATGGGCAGCGGTGGTGTGGGCAGTGGGCAGCCCTTGTCGATGGCTTGGCAACAGCTTGTCCTGCAGGTAACAGCCCAGGGACTCAGGAAGGGTGAAAATGGCCAAGTGGGGAAAAAAATCAAGGGGCCTAGGTGGACCACAAGCCAGCATGCAGTGGCTTATTGCACGACCTGGGGCCTCTGGGGAGGGAAAGAAAGTGGGATTCCAACCCCCTTGGGTATGCAGGGCATCATGTGACAAATGGGCAGGACACAGCCCAACCCTCAGAACAGCACTTTCCACTTGTGTGAGCCCTCAGGGCCCAGACAGCTGGGCAGGGTCTGTCTGGGCCCTGAGGGCAGCTCAGCAGTCAGCCTGGTGACACTGAGGGTTTTGCTTCCATGGAGTCTCTCTGCCTTCATTGCCTGCATCAGTCAGTGGGTCAGCCCCGGGGGAGGCTTGAGCAGGGCTGAGGCTCTGCCTGCAGCCCAGCAGGTGACTGGCCATTGCCCCTGCTCAGCCCCAGGAGGTGTAGAGCCCGGTCTGCTCTTGGCCAGGCCCTGAGAACTCTGAAGTTGGGATGTACAGTCAGGTCAGGAGGCCTCGTGGGGTCCTCCCGACAGGAGCTGTGCCCCAGTACCGAACCTTCAGATGGGGCAGTAGCGCCTGGCTCCTGGGGTGCTGCTGCGGGGGGAGGGAACGCCACACCTGGAGTTTGCTGTGATTGTTGAAGTTCCTGTGATTGACTGAGATGCAGGGCAGGGCACGGGCAGAGCTCCAGGGAGCCAGACGGGCTGCTGGCTGTGGGGGCCCGGCACACATGTGCTGGTGGCTTGGGGCAGCCTGGACCTCTGTGGCTGGAGAGAAAGGGAGGGGGTTACAGGTCTTGGTGGAGACTGGCCCAGTGCGCTAGCTTCATCTAGCCTGGGCGTTTGGGGCTCAGAAGCAGTGGTCTGTGTCAGGCTGGGGGACCTGGCCAGTAACTGCCCCCAAGCCTTGATGTCCTCATCTACCAGTGGGTGATCCATACGCACGGCCCAGCATGGTCCAGTCAGACCTGAAGACACATCTTCAGTGGGCCTAGACACACTGGGTAGCTGTCTTTCCAAGCCAGCTGGTGCTGAGGTGGCTGCACAGCCAGTTCATGGGAGGCTGGAACTGAGGCCAGGTGGGTCTAGGTATGAGGGCCACCCCTGTGGCCCCCTGGACCCCAGGCACTCCAAAGGGTGAGGCCTGCACCCCCAAATTTGGGGAGCAGAACAGCCGCTGGGCCACACAGGGACAGTGGCAGCCCATGACCCCAAGGCCACTCTTTAGGCTCCAGGCCCTCTTTCCAGCCCTCCCAGGCCGGAAAGGGCTCTGGCCTCCAGCCCAGAGGGTGCTGCTGAGGGTCAACGCCCCTGTGGGAAGACATTTCCATAGCCTGGAGTTGCCCTGGCCTCCTGAGGGCTGCAGCCTGAAGATCAGGCCACCACCCTCCCCGCCCACTACCCCTCCCCACCCAAGGCCCTCCAAGACCTGCCCTTGGTTTTCTCTCTTGGGAGGAGATGGTTTCTCAGGCTGAGATCAGAGAGTGTGTTCCCAGGGCTGTGGCTGGACTAGCAGGGCTGATGGGGAGGCAGCCACATCCAGCGGGCCAGGCCTGGCAGCCTCCATGCCAAACCTGCTTCCCAGACCCATCTCAGCAGGAGGTGCCTAGTGACCCACCTGTGAGCCACGGCTGCCTGGACCTGGTCCTCAGTGTCAGAGCCAGGATCTGTGCAGCTTGGAGGCTGGTGGCAAGGCAGGTAGCTGGGGCTGGGGAGTTGAGAGTCTGGGGGTGCTGCTCCACAGTGCTGGCTGCCTGCCCTTCATCCTCTAGCAGAAAGGGTCGCCTCCTCCAGACACCTGGTGCAGGCTGGCTGGAGCAGGACTGGCCCTCAAGCAATGTGTGTGTGTGTGTGGGGGGGGGGTGGGACACCTTTAGAGACCTGGCCAACTTTGGGCTGGGCCAAGAGGGGGATGAGGCTAGGGCAGTAACAGATGGTGAAATTTGGGAGAAGACAGAAATGACTCACATGTAAGCATCCAGGCCAAGTTCTCTCTGGGCACTGGTACAGTCTTCTGCTCCTGCCCCAGGTAGCTCCACGGATGGAAGTTACAGGGGGTCCAGTGGTAAGGACAACTCAAGGGAAACGGAGACTCAGAGGAACAGGCAGTGGACACCCAGAGTGCTTGAGCATGCTGGTTGCATGGCCTATGTGCATGGAGTGTCCTAGAAGAGGAGTGGGGTCTGGGGAGAAGCAGGTGGGAAGCAGAAAGCCAAGGCTAAGGCCCCCTCTCTTGCCCAGCCCGCTGAACCTTTGTGGGCCGGTCCAGCTCTGTTCAACCCAGAGCATAAGTCTCTTGTTCTTGGTGTGAGAGCCGTTGGCTTGCGTTTGTGGGGTATGACCCGAGAGGGCCCCAGCCCAGACCCTTCCCCGTGTCTACGCTTCCCTTTGGCCAAGCCAGACCCCCAGGGTGGCTGCACCTCCATGCCAGGCTGCTGGGGGTGGGGAGTGCACCATAGTGGGAGAAGCCCTGATTAACCGTCCGCTCTAGCCACCACTTCCCAATAGGTCAAAGACATGGAAGGGAGAGGATCTGAGGCCAGCTGGGCCCCACAAGCTTTTGCCCAGGGTCACCCAAGAGTTGTGCTCCCTCCCCTCCCTTTGATCTGCTCTGACACCTCTCAGAAGTTGGGGGACCCCTGGGCCTCTGTGACTTGATGGGGAGAACCCAGGACAAAGTGGGTCAGTGCAGGTCTGGGTTGAGCTCTGTGGGGACGCTTACTGGGGAGGTGCTGGAGGGTGGGTAAGAGCCTGGAGCCAGATCTAGGAAACCTGAGCGACATCGCCGTCAATACTCTTATAGGTCACCATTTCACAGCTAGGGGAAACTGAGTCGCAGCCGGGATGGGCAGCTTGTGCCAGGAGGGTGGTCTTGCAGGATGCCTTAGCCACACTGGCCCCTGCACAGCCAGAACTGTTTCCTCAACTGCCGGGGTAGGGCTGTGGTCTCTTTTACTGGGGGTAAACCGAGGCCTGGGAAGGAGGACTCGGTGGGAAAATGCTACCTCCGCGGTACGGGGGTGGGGAAGGGGAGCCCTGACTGACCTGACCGCAGGGGCAGAGGGCGACCCCGGCCCAAGGCTGCAGGCAAGCCCAGCTCCGCGCCGGGCGGGGCGGGACTTCGCCCCGCCCAATTGGCCGCCCACCGCCCCTCCCCTCCCGGGTGAGACCCCAGCCCATTGGCTGCTATCTACCCCGCCCCAGATTGGCCCCGCCCGATTGGCTGCTCGCCTCACCGTCCCGCCCCTCCCGATTGGCCGCTGGTCGCGCCTAACCAGGTCGGCCCCGCGGGGAGCGAGTCCGCCTAGCCCGAGCCGAGCGGCCGAGGCACCGCAGCTGAACCCAGTTCAGCCGCCGCCACCGCCGGCTCGCGTCCCCCGCGCCCGGCCCGATGCCGGCCGAACTCAGACAGGTTAGAAGGAACTTGGTCCCGGGCGGGGGCACTGTCCCGGGGGCCGGTGGCGGAGGGCGGGGCGCCGGCCCTCCGGGAGGACCCGCTTTTGTTCGTGGAGCCGCCGGCCGGAGGCGGCTATTGTCTGCGCCCCGGGGCCGGGGCCGGGCGGGGCGGCGAAGTGAGCGGGTGGAGGGGTGGGAGCGGGCGCACCCAGGCCAGCGCCCGGGACAGGTGCCTGGGACGGGGTGGTGGGCAGGGCCTTCCCGAGCAGATCCTCTGCGCAGGTGGGAGGCCGAATCTGGAGAGGGCAACGCGACTAGGCCTCCCCCAAATTCACAGGGCCCCGGCTCTGGGGGCCGCGCAGGAGCTTCGGAGCTTTAATGCAAGCCGGGTCTGCCGCGGCAGCGCACGTGGAGAGAGGGCTGGGGGTCGGCCCTGCCCACGTGCGGAGGCGGAGGGGGGCTTCCCCCCAGCACCAGCATGGGGGAAGGCTCGCGGGCAGCCTGCACTCTTGCTCAGAGGGGCGGGCCCCCCTAACAGGCGGGGAAACTGAGGCAGAGTGGAGGAGCAAAAGGTAGGTCTCCTACACACCTGTTCACCTGGACAGCTAGGTGCCTGTCTGCCCCAGAGAAGGAGAGGCCAGTTCAGGGGAGCTGGGGGAATGTGGGGCCACTGTGTGCCTGATGGGTGTGGGCTGGGCTTGGGAAAGCCCACCTTGCCATCGCCCACAAGCTTGCTCCCCCAGTCTGCTGGGCACCTCCTGCCCCTTGGCCTCTTGGCCATTCATCCTGGGCCTGCACCCTTGCAGGTGGACTACTGCTGTGGAGGGGGGGAGCTCCCGGTCAGCCAGGGCTGGGTTCGCCACTGTGGGCACCAAGGGAGAGGACGTCTGTAATGGCCAAGGACTTGCTCCCTGGTGGGAGATGCTTGCCTGGCTTGGCCTGGACTTCATCCAGGATGGCCATTCTGGGTGGGTGGCTGGTATTGCTCCACCCCTCGGTTCATTCATCTAGCAGCAGCCGTCTCGTGCTCTCTGAGAGCCTGGGCAGGGGGTTGTGGGAGCCAGGGGTGGTATCCCACCTTAATCTATCCCTTGCGTGTGCTGGTGGGGCTGTGGACAGGGTGGGACAACCACCCCACATCCTGTTCTTCGTGATCCAGACCATGGGTGCTCATCTCTCAAGGGCAGACATTGCAGGTGGATCCGTGCCTCTGGGACCCCAGTCCAGCTCCCCACCAGTGGTGACTTGGCTTGTTTCCTCTGTCCCCTCCTTCCGCCATTCCCACATGCGCCCCCAGAGGCTGCTGTGGGCTTTTGCCCAGGGGTGGCCCCTCTGTGTCTTGTCCCATGTCTCATTTTTCTGAGCCTCACACACCTTAGATCTGGTCACAAAGTCAGGACTGGCACTATCCCACCTGTCCTGTGGCCTGGGCATCCCGGGTCCTTCTTGTTTTCATATAAGGAAGCTGAGCCCAGGTGTGTGACAGGGCCAGAGCCCTCCAGCTCTGGGCCTCTGGAGACCCTCTTGAGAGCAGTGGTTGTGTCCACCTTTCTGGGATACTGGTCACTCCCGCCCCTGCTTGGAGTCCTGGGCTAGGCCCCTCCCACATGTTCACAGGAGCTCATGGGAAACTCCAGAAGTGTACAGCAGCCCCTTGCTGGGCCAGGCCCAGGGCCCCTGGGCCAAGTGGGCCATGGATGGGAGGACCATGGGACAGATTTGGGCCCTGGGGAGAGCTGATGGGAGGCTGGACAGTCATCCCAGCGAGAGAGGCAAGGATGGTGCCAGGGCAGAGGGAGGGTCAGGCAGTTGACAGGACTTGGCGGGATTTGGGGTGTGGGGGAGGCTGCAGGTGTTCATGTTTAGGGTGTGAGGGAAATCTGGGGCTGCAGGGCTGGGGGTGCCTGAGGTGGGCCGGCCTGGGTAGGTGGCCATGGGACATGGGACAAGAGCGGGGCCTTGAGGCCAGACGAGGATCCAGGCAGCCTGGTCAGCAGCCTCTGTTGAGAGCTGACTGTGTCCTGGTCAGTCAGTCTGTGACCCCATGTCCTCACCCCAAAGACATTTCGGAGGCCCAAGCCAGGGGTCGACCTTGGGATCCTTCTACCCTAGGCCTCGGATCCCCCACCTGCCGGCTCTGAGACTCCCATGGTAGATGCTGCATAGGTGGTTGAGGAAGTCTGGACACGCAGGTAGAAGGCAGGAGGGGATGTCGGTGCTGGGTGCTGTCGGGAGAGCCTGTGAACTGACGTGCCTGGGCCGGGGAGCTGGGATGGATGTTCGTGCACACGTGTGTCCAGGTCCCTTTCTGCATGTGTGTGCCCAGGCGTGTGTAACGGGGGCCAGGCCTCCCCGTGATCACCGGCTGACTCACGCTCCCGCCTCCCTGCCCACCGGGGTGAAGTCATCACCATTTTTAGCTCCCTGAGGTCATTTGCCAGTCAGGGCTCTTGGGGCCTTGGGATCCCACGGCCGGGCTGCCCGGGCTGGGTGTTGATGGCTGATGCTGCAGGGTTGCCAGGCCTTGTTGGGTCCCTGGCTCTCCTGGACCCCCATCCCCTCTTCCCCCCAATTCTGCATTGTGTCTGCAGGCTGGAGTGAGAAGCAGCAGCCAGGCCCCCCTGGCACTGAGGTCCAAGATGTGCACCCCCTGTGCCACCCTCTAGCAGCCCAAGCCTGGCCAGGGGGTAGGGGCTCTTCTCGGAGAGGGTTAAATGTATGCAAATGTATGCATACCTACTAAGGGGTCCGTACTCCTGGCAGTGTCCTGGACAACCTGGTCCCCTCCTGTCAGTCCTGCTCCCTGCACTCCCTGTTCCCTGTGCTTTGTAGCCATGGGGCCTTGCTGCTCCCCCGCTTCCCCGGCTGAACAGAGAGCTCACTGCCAGCCACACTTTTGCTCCCACAGTTGCCAAGTGCAGATGGGGTGGCCCAGGCCCCAGCAGGGACATGCTGTCCCTGAACCTCTGCTCCAGAACCGCCCCAGCTCCCCAGTGCCCTCAGAGAAGAGCCAGGCCACCCTGCCCAGCCGCATACAAGCGTGTCCCCACCCCAGGCCTCAGTTTACTTCTCTTTCCCAAGGAACAGCATCCTTCCTTCCTGGCCAGGTCCCCGACAGGTATACTACTTGCATTCTAGGACTGAGAAGGTGGCAGCCGAGGCTGTCGCCCCAGAGGGGTGACATGTGACTGAAAGCCCTTCCCCGTGGATGCCTGAAATCCCCTGTTAGCAGTTTGTGCAGTTCTGGGTAGTCCTTTCTTCTCTGTCAGGCCTCAGTTTCTCTTTTTCATAAAATCACATATTGTCCTCCAAAGCCCTGCTTCTGGGGGAGGGGGCACATTCTGTGACCTCTTCCTCTGTCACCAGAGCCTGAGGGATGCTCCTAGCAGGTTGGTGCAGGCTTCTCCTGGGACCCCTGAAGAGGCTGCCCAGAACCTTAGCACTGTGTGTGTTTGGGGGGACGTGCATTCCTTTAGGACAGGATCCCAACCTGGGGAGACTTCACACCCGAGGCCCTCGGGAGGCAGGCCCCGAGGGCAGCCCTGGGCACCTTGCCTTGCATGCTCCTGAGCCCAGGGACAGGAAGGTGGCCCTGGGAGCCTTGCCTTGCATGTTCCCAGTCCCAGGGACGGGAGCAGAGCAGGGCTCTGGTGCCAGGCAGATGCAGGTTGAGCTGCTGGCCTTTCCTGGGCCTCAGCTCCCTGTCTGTGCAGGCCTCAGGGGCCTGGGGCCCAGGCGGGGACCCATCCCACAAGGCACGGGCCTGGGCCCTGGAGCAGGACCTGTCCTCCTGCTGACCCGGCCCTGGCTGCCCGGGAATGTGCTCCCCCGCGCCCGCCCACTGCAGCTTGGGTTTCAGCTCCTACCCGTCCTGGCCAGACACTGATCCTGGGATGTTGGCATGGTGGGGGGGGACCTGGGCCTGGGGTCCCCATGCCACTCAGCATAGCAGGGGTCCAGCCCAGCTGTGCTGTGGGCTGGCCTGTCCTCTCTGAGCCTCAGTTTCCCCACTGGTGAATCTGGCCAGTAGGCCTGTGGGCTTTAGAAGAGCCTCTCTCCAGCAGCATCTTGCCTGTGGGGATGTTGGCAAGGGGAGGCTGAGAGCTGAGGACCAAGGCTGGGGAGACCTGGGGGTGTGTGGGGAGGGGACACCAGGGTTCCCATCAAGGATCAGCTGGGCCCCCATTGGCCTGAATCCACCCTCTCTGGGTTCTGATATGACACCCAGGGCCTCAGTGAGGGGTACCAGCCACTGGCCCGAGTGAGGTAGGGCCAGGCCCTGCCCACTCAGCATCCCAAGAGTATCCGGGCCGGAAGGGACGAGGGTATTTTGGTGTTCTGAGTGCGCAGGGCATTCTGGGAGTTGGGTATTTCTGTCCTGCGAGGGCATCTAGCTGGCCTTGGGGATGGCGGGAGCCTGGGTGTGGCCACAGGGAGTCGGTGAACAATGCTGAAATTGCCACCCCCTGCACTCAAGGTTTCTGGGGTGGGCAGGGAGGAGGCAGGGCCATCCTTTAGGGAGGGCCCAGGCAGGGGTGATGAATGACGTCAGGAGAGCGTCCTGCGGGTGCTTGGGCCTCCAGGAGCTGTGGCAGCTGGGCTTACAGCTCAGACAGGGCTGCCCAAGACTGCGCTGCTGGGCCCAGGGCCTTATCCACTAGATCAGCCCAAGGAGGACCTGGGGTGGGGACCAGCCCCTCGGCTTTCAGAGGCAAGAATGTGCTGCTGTCCTCACCAGCCGGGGCTGAGACAGGCCCTGGGGCAGGGGAAGAAGGCCCTCCTGGCGTCCAGGCCAGCACGAGCGTCCTTGCCCCAGGGCTTCTGAGCACAGGGTCCTCCCACCAACACCTGCCCCTCACCCAGGAGCAGAGCCCGGGCAGCCAGGCCTCTTTGGCCATGATGCCGGAGGCGCCTGAGGTGCTGGAGGAGACAGTGACGGTGGAGGAGGACCCTGGCACCCCCACCTCCCATGTGTCCATCGTCACATCGGAAGATGGCACCACTCGTCGCACTGAGACCAAGGTACACCTCGCCCCGGCCTCCTGCGGGCCACCCATCATTCAGGTGGAGGGCTGAGGCCACCCTAGCCTTTCAGGCTGCCAGCCCACAGGCTGCCCCCTCACCCACCAGGTCACCAAGACAGTCAAGACGGTGACCACTCGAACAGTGCGCCAGGTGCCCGTGGGCCCCGATGGCCTCCCCCTGCTGGATGGCGGCCATCCACTGGGCCCCTTCACCGATGGCCCCCTGGACCGACACTTCCTGCTGCGCGGGGGTGGCCCGGCGGCCACGCTCTCCCGCACCTGCCTTGGCAGCGGGGGCGGCTTTCCTGACGAGCCCCGTGACATCCCCAGCTATGGCAGCCTGTCCCGCGGGCTGGGTGTGCGGCCTCCTCGCGGAGGCCCCCTGGGCCCAGGCCCTGGTGATGGCTGCTTCACGCTGCCCAGCCGCCGGGAGGCCTTCCCCGCGGGCCCTGATCCTGGGCCGCCAGCCGGCCGCTCCCAGCCCGAGCGGTTCCAGGCAGAGCCGTATGGCTTGGAGGACGACACTCGCAGCCTGGCTGCTGAGGACCAGGGGGGCCCGGAGCTGGAGCCTGACTGTGGCACAGCCGCACGGAGGAGGCCAGACTGTGGGCGGGGCCTGCGCACCAGGTGAGCCCCCATGCGCTGTCACTGCCTCCGGGAAGCCTGCCTTCCACTCCTTGCAGAGTACCACACGGGTAGTCTCGCTGCGGTGTTATGTTAGTAATGCACACGTTAGTTTGAATTGGCCTTGGCTTTTCTCGGGGACAGCGGCAAGGGCGGGCTCTGGGCTGTGTGATTGCACTGGGCACCCTCCCTGCGGGTCTGGAGCAAGAGAAGCTGGTGACACGCCCATGCCTGCTGCCCCTGCTGCAGCCAGATGGCCCGGAAGACACAAGCCCAAGGGACCCAGGGCATTTTTCTGAGCTTGGGCCCCAGCCCCTCCCCCATGCACAGGAGCACCCAGAACCCAGGCCCTCGGTCCTTCCCTTCCCACTGCAGCCTTTGGTTCTGTCTCCCCTGCCCTCAGCTTCTGTCTGTCAGGTGGGAACATGACCACTGCCTGGGTCTGGATTATGCTTTGTGGCCACAGGCGGGACACTCGCCCACCCCCAGCCCCAATCCCTCACCTAGGAAGTGGGTTTGACATCTTGTGCCCTGGAGAACTGGTGGCCTGAGGCCCCTCAGATGGTCCTACCAGGCTGGCTATGTGCAAGGGGTGCACTAGCCAGACATGGCCTCATGGGGAGGTGGGACCCTAGTCACAGACAGATGTTTCGTAGAAACACATTTAGCTGGGAGTCAGGGAAACTGCCTGGTGATGGGAGTGAGTAAGCTCCCATCTGGGAGGGATACAAGTTCTGATGACATTGGCTGGGGTTTGGCTCTCTTACTGGCTGTGAGTTAGTTCCTGCTGGGTCGGGTATGACCCTCAGCAACGACGATGCTCTAGGCTCAGCCCTGCCCCATGGGTTCATGGTTCCCCGGAGAATGTGTGATGGGGCCGCTTGGGGTCAAGGCCAGTCAGCAGCCGCGAGAGGACGGTCATGCACCGTGCTCGCCTGCACAGGGCCTACGAGGACGTGGCGGACGATGGCGGTGAGCTGATGGAGGAGCGGCCCCCATTCCCAGCCACAACAGCGCCCCTGGCCCAGCCGGAACATGGCAGCCTGGGCAGCCTGGACCGGGCAGTGCGGCGCTCACCCTCGGTGGACAGTGCCCGCAAGGAGCCGCGCTGGCGGGACCCCGAGCTGCCCGAGGTGCTGGCCATGCTGCGGCACCCTGTGGACCCCGTGAAGGCCAATGCAGCCGCCTACCTGCAGCACCTGTGCTTCGAGAACGAGGGTGTCAAGCGCCGCGTGCGGCAGCTGCGGGGGCTGCCACTGCTTGTGGCCCTGCTGGACCACCCGCGGGCAGAGGTGCGGCGCCGGGCCTGTGGGGCACTGCGGAACCTCTCGTATGGCCGGGATGCTGACAACAAGGCCGCCATCCGGGACTGCGGCGGTGTGCCTGCCCTGGTGCGCCTGCTGCGGGCCGCCCGGGACAGCGAGGTCCGTGAGCTCGTCACAGGTGAGGCGCCCGGCCGCCTGCGTCGTGGTTCAATCGGGAGTCAGGCTTAGGCACTGTGCCAGGTCTCTACCGCTGGACTCGGCCGCCACAGGTGGGGCTGGCGCTGGCCCCCTCACCGCCAGCTTCCATGTCCCCACTGTGACTACTCTGGGTCCTGCCTCTCTGGTCCCCCCGAGCAGGGCAGTGGTGGGGACCATGGCTGGTCAGGGTCATGTGATGATCCCCTCTTGGCGTGGCCCCAGGAGCATAGTCCCACCTGCCTGGGTGGCTGGAAAGGGGTGGGGAAAAGAAGGCACATGCTAGCTCCAGGCTCTTTGCCAGCCCCTCCTATGTGTCCTGGTCTCTAGGGGGCTCCTTCCCCGCCTGGGGAGCCCCCTCTCGGTGTGGCGTGTGCATCTCACCCACACCAGAGCAGCACCCAGTGCCTCTTGTGGCTTTTGCCACTCCTGTCTTCTGATGTGAGCTGGGGCCCGAAGAGGGTGGGGTGCATCCTGAGCTGGTCCTGTGGGGACAGTGCCTGTGGTCAGCACTGGCGGGTTGATGGCACCCTGCAGGCACACTCTGGAACCTGTCATCCTACGAACCCCTGAAGATGGTCATTATTGACCACGGCCTGCAGACGCTGACCCATGAGGTCATTGTGCCACACTCGGGCTGGGAACCAGAGCCCAACGAAGACTCCAAGCCACGGGATGCTGAGTGGACAACTGTCTTCAAGAACACATCAGGCTGCTTGAGGTGTGCGTGGGGCCGGGCTCAGGTGCCCCTCGAAGCCTCCCAGGGCTGTTGCCACCCAAGGAGGCAGGAGCCAGGCACCAGAGCATGCATCCACACCTGGGGACAGCTGTCCTAGGAATAGCCACGTCCCTGTGTCCCAGATAACATGGAAGACAGCTAGCCACCCAGGCCTCGGCGTCAGAGCCAGGTCACAGTTCCTGCCCGAGTCCCAAGAATGTGCCTGACGGGGCTGTACTCACCCCCACAGGCAGCCTCTGGATGTCTGCCACCCTCCCATGTACCCCTGCTCCGTCCCTGCCCAGCTTCGACCCATCCCTGTGACACCCAGGGAAGGGGAGCTAGGACCCTCCTCTCCAGTCTGCCTCAGAGGCCTCATCCCACCTCCTTGTGACCCCTGCCCTCCCCCCACCACCCTTGGAGGCCCTGCAGAGACCCCACAGGCAGTCCTGCGTCCCCTCGGTCCTGCCTGTCCATCAGGATATCCCCCCATGGCCCTCTGGGGTCCTTAGCACAGGGTGGAGCCCTGAACTGCACAGATTCAGGCCTCTGTATCCACTTCTGTCCCTTTGCAGTTCAGCTGGGAGTCAGGGGAGCCCCGCACCCCACACAGATGCCAGGCCACGGCCCCCTCCTGGGGTCTCAGCAGTCAGGCCATTGCTGCTTCACCTTCACTGCTAGCCTCTTGTCATCTGCTAGCAGCCTTAACGGCCTGGCACAGAGCATGTTCTGCAGATAAGATGAGACCCCGGAGCTGGAGCTGGGGTCACAGGGCTTGGTCTTGGCCACACAGGAATGTGAGCTCAGATGGTGCGGAGGCCCGGCGGCGACTCCGTGAGTGTGAGGGGCTGGTGGATGCACTCCTGCACGCCCTGCAGTCGGCCGTGGGCAGGAAGGACACGGACAACAAGGTAGGCAGGGAGGCCCTGGCAGGCCCCAGGCAGGGTCAGTATCACAGCCTCCCATGAAGGGTCGGGGAACGGAGCAGGAGCCCTGGACTATCCAGGCGGCACAGGGGACGGGTGTGTGGTGCGGGGCAGCAGGTGTGCCCTGAAGCCCTGGACCAGGTCTCGTGTGTGGTAGGTGCTCCCTGCTCCTTCCTCAGCTCCTCCCTGGGTTTCACCTGAGTGGGCCTCTAACCCAGGCCTCCCCATCCTACATCTGGTCCCTTCTGCGCTCACGAGCTGTGGCATCTTCCCTGGGGGGGCGGTCAGTGTCCCATGCCCCCCAGCAGTACCCTAGCCCCCTCTCCCTGCAGTCAGTGGAGAACTGCGTGTGCATCGTGCGGAACCTCTCCTACCATGTGCACAAGGAGGTGCCGGGGGCTGACAGGTACCAGGAGGCCGAGCCCAGGCCCCCAGGCAGTGCCATGGGTGCCCAGCGCCGGAGGAGGGAGGACGCCGGCTGCTTTGGTGGCAAGAAGGCCAAAGGTGTGTGGGTGGGACTGGGGTACTGCTCTAGGACCCCTGACCCTGCCAAGCCGAAGGCCCTCCACACCCACTGGGAACACATTCAGGGAGCCAAGGAGGGTACCCAGGACCACCTGTGCAGTGGTCCCCCCTCGTGCCCGGACCCAGGCCCTCACCTCCAGGAAGGGCCCGGGGGCCCAAGTTTGGAAGTGCCAAGGACAGCGCCACCTTCTGGCATTGGCAGGACACCCGAGGACCCTGAGGAGCCCAGGGGGCAGCACCCCACCTGCCTCACGCCGTCCCTACCTCGGGTGCAGCTGCCAGGGGTCTGTACACTGCCTTCACCTGCCCCACTGCATTGGCCTTTTCTGATCCCTGTCCCACTTGTGGGCACTCAGCCCCCAAAAGTAATCGGGGTGAGAGTCCCCGTCCCTCTGCCCTGCACTTCCTGGGAGGGAATGGGGGTGCTGCCCGCTCAGGTTCCTCTCCTCTCTCCTGTGCTTCCTCCGGCCGCCCAGAAGAGTGGTTCCATGAAGGTAAGTCCCTGTTTGTCCTGCCGTGCAGGCCTGGCGGGTGCAGTGGGCACCAGGGACCCCTCCCCGCCCCCATTGCTCAGGCAGCCATCTCCATGACAACTGCAGGACCTTTCATCCTTGGGAAGTCCCTATCCCAGTTCCTTCTCCAGGCAGCCATCTCCATGGCAACTGTGTGGACATGACAACTGCAGGAATGTCAGCCTGGGGCTGGTCGGGAGGCCGAGGGGCTGTCCCTCTGTAACCTCAGAGCCGAGGGTGGATAGGGCCTGGGCATGTCCATTCCCAGGGGCACTGGGGAGCAGGGTCTGCCCCTCTGATGGGATGGGCCAGGTGTGGCTCAGATGGAGGGACCATGCAGATGCCCCAGGAGGTTGGGTAAGGCAGGCCCCTGATTGTCTGAACTCAGCTCTGCCTTCCAAGAAGGGGAAGGTTCCTCATCTGAGCGGGAGGGCAGCCGGGAGGTGGTGAGCTGGCTCTCACGGAGGTGTGCAGGCCGAGGCTGACGGGTGTTAGGTGGGGCTGCTGCAGGGGCCTGCGGGTGGGGGGGGGGTCTCCTGGCCAGCAGAGCCCAGGGCCGGGTCCTGGCCCCAGACGGGCAAGTTTCCCCAGGAGTGGGATTCTTGGCTCCAGCCCCGCCTCACTGTGCAGCCAGGCAAGTCCTGTCCCTGCCAGCCCTTGGCTTCCCTGTCTGCACCTCCCTGCCCCAGCCTGGGCTCCTGGGCCCCTCAGTTCACACACATGGTGGGCCCAAGGAGCCCATCGGGAGGATCTGCAGTGCAGCTCCCAGCACCCGATGGAGGATGAGTCCTGGCAGCTCAGGCAGGGCTCGGACCTCCCTAGGTCTAACTGCCACCACTGCCCTCTGGGCAGAGCTGCCTGCCTGGACTCAGAACGGTGCTGTTCCCAGGCCTCTTGATGCCCAGTCTTGGATGTGGGGGTGCTGTCCCTGCTCCTCCTGACGCATGCCTGCACCCTGCAGGGCCTGCCTCACCTCCCACTGCCCTTCTGTTCCAGGGAAGAGGGACGGTGAGATGGACCTGAACTTGGACTCGCTGGACCTACCCGGGCGGACTGAGGCTGCCAAAGGTGAGCAGTGGGAGGTGGAATCCAGGCCCAGGCCTGTCCAGGAGTTAAGCTTTGTACCACCAAACAGGCTGAGGGGCCTTGGGGATCCCGTGGGGAAACTGAGGCCTACGGGTGTGGGGTTCCTCGGAGGACTGTGCAGTCCCTGGGCACCTGCTCAGGGCTCAGAATCGGGGTCTGTGCCACAGGTCATTTCAGGCAGGGTGTGGGTGCAGAGGCAGGGAGGAGCCAGGCACTTGCCAGGTCACACAGCACATGAGAGGCTGGCAGGGATTGGAGTGAGGGCTAGCTGGGCAGGGCCTCCTGTGCCAGTCGAGGAGCCCGGGTTCACTCCTAGGGATTTTGGAGCCCCGAGGTGCAGTCAGATCCAGTTGGGAGGCCGGGCAAGATCACCCAGATCGTGTGGGGGAGCGG